AATGAGATATAACTCATTCCTGGCACTGGAGGTTTGACTTGGTGGTATAAGATGTCTTTCAATGTGCTATTGCCAGGCTAAATATTTTCTGCCATATATTCACATATTATCAAACCTGCTAGTATCTGTTGGACTCAGTGTTTTATTTTGACAATTGTGTGTATGATTAAAAGCATGGATAGCAAATTATTTACAAACAATAGGATGGGCGTTATTTGACATGAGTGAGTCCCAAGAAAAATGAGGGAAAAAACTGCAATCTGCAATCTGATTTTGAAAAACCTCAAGTAAGGAGAATTGTCTCTGAAAATAACTAATAAGCTGAAAGATACATATTTTACACAAGAAAATTTCCTGACATACATATTTTCATGCAAGGAAGGGCATAGAGAGAGGATGTTCTCCTCCATTAAGATTCTGTTATCTGTCAAAGACAGGCACGTGCTGAAATCAGATGAGCCTTGACCTTCAAACCAGCCTCCCAAGTCTCCAAGTCCTGTCTATAATATGACATAAAAAGCCTGGGGCTAAACAAGCATTTGAAGAAAATTCTAGCCGTATCCTCAGGGTATAATCAATAGATTATCTATCAAGGCCAGATCTATCTATGCTAAGAATATAATGTCAGTGTTAATCCAAGTCACAATCACTTGAAGTTGAAAAAAAAATTAACACCAGCTCAACCTAGCCACTCTCATTTTCTTTGTGTCTGTGCACAATAGCATAGTTTCTTAGCCTAATATATAGGAGCAACAACCCAGCAATAATATTGGGGGGAAAGAGTTTGTATCAATAATTACGTGAATATGCTACATGGAAAAATAAAGTATTAGACAACAAATATCATGAAGAAATTCTCTATTCTGGACAGGCTGTTAAGAACACAATCAGTTTCATCATTAGGAAGAGCTCTATTCTCTTTCTGTGGAGAAAAATAGCCTCCCACCCACTGTGAAACATACTTAATTGAGATCCGGATTGCACGGTGTATACTGTCGCATATCACTTGAACTTTGACTGTCATTCTCTTAACAAAATCTTTACTTATCTTAAGAACAGGTTGCTAATCAAGTGGAATTATTTAGCAATTATATTTTATTTCTAACTCTTAAGTTTACATTTCCATTTTGGATTGCACCCCCAATTGTAATTTCTCCTTATGTATTTGCCTAAAGATAATCGGTTAACTGTCTACTGTCTAAGCACTATAGGTGTGTTGTCCCTTGTGTGACCTCACTTATGGATGGATATCAGTTGAAATGTTTTCAAACACAGTATTAAAAGCTGTAATTATCATATGTATTCATCAGAATTATAAAGAGCAACAAAAGCCATAGCTTATGAAACAGATGGGGATAAGGGTGGCAAACAGCTGCCATTAATGTACATTAACCTAAAACTGCAGAATCTCCCAACAGAGTTTTTTTCATCAAAATGCTTAATGTTTCTTTTTTTTTTTTTTTTTTTTTTTTTTTGGTTTTTCGAGACAGGGTTTCTCTGCGGCTTTGGAGCCTGTCCTGGAACTAGCTCTGTAGACCAGGCTGGTCTCGAACTCACAGAGATCCGCCTGCCTCTGCCTCCCGAGTGCTGGGATTAAAGGCGTGCGCCACCAACGCCCGGCAAAATAACTTTCTTTTTTTTTTTTTTTTTGCTTTTTCGAGACAGGGTTTCTCTGTGGTTTTGGGGCCTGTCCTGGAACTAGCTCTTGTAGACCAGGCTGGTCTCGAACTCACAGAAATCCGCCTGCCTCTGCCTCCCAAGTGCTGGGATTAAAGGCGTTCGCCACCACCGCCCGGCTTTTTGCTTAATGTTTCTTAAATGTCACCTAATTCATATAGATGTGTGTGTAAGTGTGTGTGTGTGTGTGTGTGTGTGTATGAATATTAAGAAATTAGCTCATTGTGTTTCTAAAGTCAGAAAAATATCAAAATATTAAGTAATGAGGCTCAAGGTCCACGATCTAGTTATACGCAAAGTACAAAGACTTAATAACTGAAAGAATTGATCTTGCAGTTCAAGTTCAAAGTCAGGAATACGAAAAAAATAGTATTTTAGTTCAAGGCAGTTAATCAGAAGTCTTTGGTTTGTCGTTGGAGGGTCAGGATTTTTGCTTTCTTCATACCTTGAATGGCTTGTGGGGGGCTCCCCATGTCAAGGAAAAGCATCTATTTTACACAGTCAATCATTTTAAAGCTGGTCTTTTTTTTTAATGGTTTCTGTATTTATTGATTAGACTTCTTTAAAACTCTTCTATGATGGCAAAAATTGCATTTACCTGATTATTTCTATTTTCGTGGTCTTAATATTGCTTGTGCATTATTTTCCTTCTTAAATCTTTTCATATTATTTTACATTTTGACAGTTTTATACATATCATGAATTTCAGTCATGTTCACTCATTATTCTCTTTTCCCTTCTTTTCAACCTCTTATTCTTCCTCAAAATAACCGTCATCTTAATTTCAAGTCTGTTGCATCCATGATCCCTTGGGTTTAATCAGGGTTGCTGGCATGACTCTAGAAAGAGGATTAGCTACTAGACCATGAGAAATGTACCAGTGGCTGAAGTAAGTGAAGAAAATGGCAGCCTTTTCCCCAGCAACTATTAACTACCAACAGTAGAAGGATGGAGTCACATGATCCCCTACCTTACCAATGGTAAAATATGGAGAACCTATATATATATATTCTTGGGAATATAACCACAGTTGAAGGGGATTCGTGAATAAAATGGTAATATCACATGCAAACGACATCTTTTGCAGCAACCGTTCCTATCTTTCAGCCCTTGCATTGCACTCTCTCCTACACATTACTCCCTGAAACTTGGAGGGGAGTTCTATTTGGGATCAAGTACTCAGCGGTCACTTGTTCTTGGTGTTTTGTCAAGTTTTGACTCTCTATAGTAACCATAAACCATTGCAAAAAGAGGCTTCTCAGGGGATCGCTGAGATCAGTAGTAATATATGGTTATAAAAATAAAGAGAAAGCAGTATGACACCGGGTCAAGTTAGCAAAGCAACAGTCATACGTTCCTTGTGAGCTATGAGGACCTATGACCTTTAAAGCCATTGGCTCTGGACTAGGTTTAGAGAATCAGGCATAAGTTTTCCTGTGAAATGGAATTCAAATCTATCCAGAAAGATGTTAGTTACTACCATAATAATTGTACCTGTGGATGCATCTTTCCTGCAGCTGTTATTATAATTTGCAAGTATAATATCTGAGTATAACCATCAGTTCCTGCTCTCCCTCAGAAGCTTGCAAAGCATCTTAGCTGCTATGAAAGCTGGACAGGGGGTAAGAAGATTTCATCTTAGTTGCAGCTTGATATTCTATTCAGACAGAGTCTCTCTGTATAAGCCTTGTTGTCCTGAAACTCACTCTGTAGTCCAGGCTGACCTCAAACTCAGAGATCTACCTGCCTCTGCCTCCTAAGTACTAGGATTAAAGGTTTCTACCACCATGCCTAGCTTCCAGCTTGACTTCTATGACCTGCTGTCAAGATGTGTGTATTAGGGTCTTACATTCCAATCCTGGTGAACAATCAAGAATAATAGCAATACATATATTGTTTGGAGACAGTCTGAGGCCTCCATGACCTATATCTCTCAAAGAAGTGTCCCATATTTGGTACTGGCATTTTCATCTAATAACCAATGACTTCTAAGAAAAGTATTATCCACCTATGCAGTATGTCAAAACTCTTTTTAAATTATGTTTTAAAAATATTTTATTAAAACTCTTACTGATAAATATCTTCATAGACACAACCTGAGTAAATTTGATGAAGTATCTGGGTGTTCCATGAATTAACAACCATTTCAAGTGTGTGTGAACCTAGTGAAACTATTTTAGTCATTTTGACTACCCTAACTTGAAAAGAACATGAGACTCCATTCCAATTCCAAATATCAGGTAACGTAATTATTTTAGACATTTATCATCATTTTTCTCTCAAGCAGAAATACAATAATTAGTTAGGGTAGGGTATGCACAATTTGTTTTTATTTACTCCAAAGATAACACTCTATCAGTTTTATTTTGGGCATTTGTCTTTCCTATTTGTCAGTAAACCAGGATTAAAGTTACCTTCAAAAGTCTATAATAAAATATACTTTAGAGGCATAAAATCAGCATTAATGATAGTGACCCAAAATGCTATAGAAACTACCCTACACAGATGTCATTGTGTTTGGATTTGAGTATACACCCCTCTCTATTTTATAACTCCTGAGGAATAATAGCATGGTCAAAACTGGTGGCAAAGGTTCTACCAAGCTACAATCAGAATGTATGTGTTGAAGGACCAGACAAAATATTTAAGCAGCTATCTAAGCACTGGCATAGTCCACAATTACTGATTTTCAGTTTCCGGAAGAAGTCAATAGAAAGATTACATGATAAAATGAAAATTATTTTGACAGCTCTGAATTATGGCTCTTTCTCTACTTCATACAACAAATGAACATGGGTTGCCTTTAAACAAAGTATGGAAGTCTGTGCTAGCCATGTGCACAACAAAACTCATCATTCTTTCACCTCAAGTAACTAGAATGGAATAAAAATATACACACAGCTGTCTATAATGCTAGGAAGATTATGGTGAATATTTGATTCAAAACTCAAAATATAAGGCATAAAAATGGAAGCAAGAATAATTAATCTCTGCAAGGTAGGAAGGAATGATATTTCATATGAGCTCAAATCATGATATTATGAAATCCTCTAAAACAAATCTTACTTTTACATTCCCTTCTTTTCTTGGTCATAATCTAATTTGTACATCTCACCTTTCTTATTGGGTCAGGAGTAGCTGCAAATTGAGTTCCAACCAGTGGAATGAAGACAAAATGAAGATACACCCTTACCAGGATCAGCCCCAAGAGACATGTATATAATGGTATTCATTCTTTATTTCTTTTTCTTTTTTGCCTAGAGTCACAGAATCCAGTGGTAAGCCTGAGGTCAAAGGATGTGCAGATACTGTAGATGGCTGTGGGGTAAAAGTTGTCTTCTTGGTATCATACACGGCACTGTAGTGTGAGCATAAACAAAACCTCCAATCTTTATCTTCATATGGTTAACACACTTGGTCTAGTTGAACTATTAGAAAAAGTGATAAGTAGCCATGGACTGATTTTATGACAAACTTTTGATTATGTGAGATTAGTTAACACTGTGGTAGAGATAGAAATGAAATTCACTTTAGAGGACCAATATACAGCAGCCTGTATTATAGAACAGCAAAATATTAGCAGAGAAACCTGCTAGGAAAGTACACTACTACACACAAGGAATTTTATTTATCTGGAAAAAAAAACAATGGAAGGAAATTTTGGGGGAAAAGCTGTATGTAGATCTTCTACTTCCCTTAGAAGCTACCCATAAACACATACACATGTACATACATAAATATGTGTGTAAAAAATTTACTTGAGCCTAGCCAGTTTGGATGTTCACCTTCCTAGATATGGACGGAGGGGGGAGGACCTAGGACTTACCACAGGCAGGGAACCCGGACTGCTCTGTGAACTGAAGAGGGAGGGGGAGAGGAGTGGGGGGAGGGGGAGAAGGGTGGGAGGAGGGAGAGAAGAGTGGGAGGAGGGGGAGGGAAATGGGAGGCTGGGAGGAGGTGGAAACTTGTTTTTTTGTCTATGTTTTTTTTTCTTCTTTTCTCAATAAAAAAAAAAGTAAAGTTAATGCCCTTAAAGAAAGGGGGTAAAGTCTTTAAAGAGAAGGAATAAAATAAAGTGATAGAGTAAAAATAAGCCACATAAAAATAAAAAATTCACAGAAAAAAAATTTACTTGACACTATACTATATAGGAGATAATGACTTTTTCAGAAGTCATGAGTCCCAAATAAAAATCCCTCTGAGTAGTGTGGAATACCGCAAGTTGTTGCCAGGTGTATCCATAAGTTTCTCAAAATAATACAAATTATTGTCAATATTCTTGATTGCTCATGAGAACTTGATAGCAAGACCCTATTGACAGCATGAACTTATATCACAGGACATATAGAAGTTGAGCTGATATTTACTGAGAAGCTTTCTTCCTACTAGTTATCCTTCATAGTACTGGAGGGTGTTAATCAAGTATCTAGGGGAAGAAAACCATGATCAAATGTCTTCTCTATCTGTAATACTCTACAAGCTACAAATATTTCCAACCTGAAAGATATGACCATGAGTGCAAAAGTGACATAATTTATATTTTAGGGAAGTAATTTCTGGTTGAATTTAAGGCTGGGTCCTCAAAAGGAAACAGATGAGTGGTGCTGTAAATTTGTCTTAGAAGCCATGTCTGGTGAGCTTATTGACAAATGATGACTTATAGGAGGGAGATTCAGTTTGCTTCATGTATATGGCCCTGCTAGGTTGACCACACTCTAGTTGATAGTCTCATACTTGTATATAAATTAGTCCATACATATATGTGTGTGTTGTGTCTATTTATATAAATCTAGCACAAGTTGGACTCAGTCTGTTTTAAGAAAAAAGAACTTAAGTAGGTCACAGAAATGGCCAAAATATATTATATGCATGTATGCATCATTCAACAACTAATAAAAAGTAATATATTAAAGAAAAAGTGAAACATAAACAGGAGGAGAGAGCAGACTATCCATGGAGGTTTGGATAGAGGTACTTCACAGTCTGACACAGGGTAAAAATATCTCACCGGTAGTCTTTAGTTGTGCAGATGTGGGAAGCAGAGTCTATTAATATTATCTAGGAGAAAAACAATGGAGATTGAGTTGGAATGATAAGGATAAATGCTTTAAATGATCAGAATGTCAACATCAAAAATAGTCAGTAGGGATGCTTTATAAGAGAGTAAATATTTATAGACAGGGCTAGTGCAATGCTCTGTCCTGTCCCTTTAAGAGACAAGCCCCACCCACTCCTTTCCTATCCACCAAGGCAAGTGGATCTTCCTTCTGCTTCCAGCCTGAGCTTTTCCATCTCTCTCCCAAAGAGGTAACTTCTGCTTGCTTGCTCCTGTGCTCTCTTTCTCTCCTTTCCCATCCCCCCCCTCTCTCTCTCTCTCTCTGCCTCTCTCTCTCCTCATTCCCCTTCTCCTTCCCTCTCCTTTTCCCCCTTCCCTTCTATAACCCACGAAATAAATATCCAACCTCACTCTGCATGGTGTGCCTATCCATCTGTCTCTCACCTGCCAAGTAACTTCCTGCCTGGGACCAGCTGACCCACCAAGGTATTTCACCTGCCACGTGGCTCCCTGCCTGCAATCTGCTGTCCCAATGGCCCACTACCCACTGCTGCCACTCAGGGACCTGCAGTGTTTTATTTTTTACCAGTACAGCTAGGGTATCATATTTAGATCTAACACACAGTCAAGGTTAATATTAAGTGACATGAAGAATAGTAAAATAAGAAAAAAGTCATCACATTAATAAAGATGTTCAGATTTGTAGTATTTAACAATGTAGCCTCAAAATTCCTTTATCAACAAATGTCGAAATTGCAAGCAAAGTTAACAAATCAAAAAAATATAGAAAGATTTTTACTATAATCTTATTATGTTAAGCAGTCGAAAATAAGAGATAAATTAGTGTAAGAGCAGAATTGTAGATTCAATCTAGGTGACAAGTATGGAATGCCACACCCGAGATTTAAAATTAGTCACTAAACACTGGGGAATTTAAGTTTGCTACATTTCTCTGAATGTCAGCATCTTCATTTTTATCATGCAGACATTACAAGTTCTGACTTAGACAAGTTTAAAAGGCACAAAACAATTATTAAATATTAAAGAACCTGAAATATTTCAAAACAGTGCATGGATATGATAGATTGTAACAACTGAACAATTTCCATTCATTTTCTAGTTATAACTATAAAGTATAGACACTAGTACCAAAATATTTGTAAACTTTCCTCAATTACATTTGACAGATTATAGTCTCCAATGAAGACTATAGCAATATAGACATACAGAACCCACCATGTTTTTAAGAGGTGCAGTGGACATACATCACAGGAAGGACTCTGAACTTGAGCTGATCTTATTACTCTACTTTAACCAATAGAACGTGAGGAAGTGATTCTATACATATTCATAGTTTATAAAAAAAAGACAGTATCTTACGTGGTACACTTGGTTTTAGAATACAGAACACCTGTTGTCAGGAATCAGAGCCACGTGTTCAGCCCAGCTAGGCACACAGCCAAGACAACCTCAATTTACCAGATGTGAGGAAACGAACTTTTAGATACTCCAATGCCCAGCGTTCAATATTCTATCACAGACAAGACACCATGGAACAAAGATATCCTCACAGCATGTCAGAACCTGTACCCACAGTTCCTGGGAAATGATAAATATTCATTATTTTTTCAGAAATTTATTTCTTGGATACACATCACAAATTGCTAATCCAACCTGTTTTTCACCCAAATTACTAACCTAAAGAAGCCTCTATTTTCTCCCCTGCTAGAAAGAGATCTTCCACAGAACTCATAAGGCTGAGAACACAGTCTTCTTCAGGAAAACTACACAAGAAATATAACTTCTAAGAAATATTTGCAAACACAAGGTTCCAACTCGAGTAGAAATGGGGCAAAGAAGAGCAAGCTAATGAAAAACGTTAAGTTGTAAACTAGCAGCCTAATAACAAATCCTCAAGCCAGCCTCCCATGCCGACTTCTGCTGTAACACATGCATGCAATATTTAGTTCTCCTAGAACTCTGCTAGGAAGGCTTTTATCCCGGAAAAAAAAAAAGTCTATAGCCAGGAGCTGCCTGCTGGCATTGCACGCAAAAACACACCACTTTTCAATACTAGAATTTACTCTTTCCCTGACTGATGTTCTCTAACCCTTCTCCGAAGGCACCTTTGCCTTTATGACTGACACGACCCAAAAAAAAAAAAAAAAAAAAAAAAAAAAACGGGCTTGTCATTGCCTCTTATTTAGAAACAGGAGGCTGGCAGAGGGTGTGTGTTCTGGAGTGCCTGGGCCCTTCCACTAGGTAAACATCACAGACTCCATGGGAGGAGCAGTTCCACTCAACAGGAGAGATAAAGTCCAAAAAAAGAAACAGAGAGACTAGGACTGCTCTATTTGTGTCCAGTCGGCTCGTGTTGTCAGTTCACTTGCCCAGTTATGGGGACTTGTTTAAAACATGTCAAAACTGATTTCCTAAGAGACTTGTGTGTTTGTTTCTTCTAATGAATATCTGGAATGCATTTGTCTCATCCATATCCCCTCAAAGAAAGTCAAAAATGGGGAATCGGCTATGCCACACTTGGCTGAGGTAGAAACTTGACAGTTAATAAAAAAATTATGTAGTCCCTATTTCAAGAGATGTGGAGGAGGGGCATAGGCAGTGTGTGTCACAGTACAACATAGTCTTCAATTTAAAAAAAGAAGTCCCAGGACAGGTTATATGTGGATTCTGAGAGAACAGCCTTTCATAAAGAAAACTTCATGTGTACTCTCCTGGGGACACAGCAAGAGGCACTTGTAAGAACAAACCTTGCAAGTTGATACAAAATCACACAGAACGTATACAATTTCTGTACATATTTCTTTGGATGCTAATCTTCACATAATACTCACATATTCTTCTCAACAGAGATGCTGATTTAAGGTCAAAGAACCTAATTAAGGATGAAGGAAACATTACTATCCAAGCTGTGAAGTTCTTTTCTTGTAATTTCCCTTTTTAAGATGGATTTATTATTATTTTTAATGCTTTTAATTGAAATAGAATATAATCACTTTCTTCCTCCCTCTATCCTCTCCTATCCCCAAACTCCTCCCATGCCTTCTCTCTTAAATTGATAGTCTTTTTCTTTAATTATATTTATTGCATATATATATATATAATATATATATATATATATATATATATATATATATAGAGAGAGAGAGAGAGAGAGAGAGAGAGAGAGGATGATGATGATGATGAAGATGATGAGGACGATGTGGGACTCTCTATGCTGCTGTGAATACCATTGGTTAATAAAGAAACTGGCTTGGCCTGATAGGGCAGAGTAGAGCTATGTGGGGAAAATGAAACTAGACAATGGGAGGAAGAAACCTTGTAGCCTGCCAGAGACAGATGTTGGGGATGGGACTTTACCTGGTAAGCCACAACCATGTGGCAATACACAGATTAATGGAGGGTTAAATTAAGATGTAAGAGTTAGCCACAAATACACTTAAGCTATTGGCCAGACAGTATTGCAAGTAATATAGTTTCTGTGTGCTTATTTTGGGTCTGAGAAGCCAAGAACAAACTAGTGGCCTCCTCCAACAAAGAGAGACAGATAGACATACAGACAGACAGACAGAGCAACAGAAAGCAGAGTCTGTTTCTGTTGTTTGTGTGTATATGGTTTCAAGGCTGGCCACTCTACATTGAACAACCAATAAGGGGACTCATCCCTGGGGGAGGCTATTTCTCCATCTCCCAGCAATCCTTAGTTGCCTGTATTTTTTGCCTAGGGATGGGACCCTGTGAAATTGTTCCCCTTCCTTGTTCATGTCCCCTTATATATCTATTTTCCCAGAATTGTGTGTGAGCCATTTTTAGGAGATGGTGTTTCACAGCAGAATCCCACACACTCTGTTTTGACATTCTTTCTGCCCCCTCTTCTGAAAATTTCCCTGAGCCTACACACAGGAGCTATGGTGAAGATGTATCCATTGGGACTTGGATCCCTACGATCCATCAATTTTTGCAAAATGTCCTGTTGTGATTTTCTATGACAGAAGCTTCTTTATGAGGAATGGCAGTTGTATTTATCTGTGGGACTAAGGAAAAGATTTAGAATATAGTAAGATTATGCTGGTCAAGCAATGAGGTGGTAGTAGAGTTTTTGTATGGACAATGACCTCACTGCTGCCAGGAAGCTGGCTTCATTTTCACTACCAGTACTGAAAGAGGAAAGACAAATGACAAGCTTGTTAAAGTCTCAAATAATCATAGTATTTTACATTTACCTAAAATTGTACACTGTATGTATTTATATACGGCATATACTCACCTTAAAGTAAGTTAAGTACTTGGGTTAACAACACTCTCTACAAGCACCATAGACTAACAGAAACTCCAGTACCAGACACAAGAAACCTCCCTTCAAACAGTAAAGGGATGGCCAAAATAGTCCAAGTGACTTGCAAAGTAATATAGATTGTTGATACAGCTCCTGATTGCTTTTCATGGTTGAGGGTGGGTCCCTGCTTCTGAACACACTACAATTGGCACACAGGATTCAGATGATTGGCATTAGATCTGGCCTGAAAGCCTCTTTCCTGAAGTCTAGCTTCATGGTTCCAGAAAATGCTGTACAAGCTACCAAGGAATGGAAGCGATTGAACAGGCCTGTCCTGCTGCAACCCTTATGAAGCATAACTATTGCCTGCATAGCCAGATGTATACAGTAAGCAGCACTCTGATGTCAGTGGCAACCAACAGTTGTCTATTTGAACTTAAAGCCCTCTCAAAAGGAAGGAAATCAAGCTAGATTAATTTTGGACTTCACTCATGTCTCTCTCCTTCCCACACTACCTACCCATCAAGAATTCTCAGCCACCAAATCACATTTTCTAAGAGTGGAAAAAAAATCATTCTTCCTTCTAACAATTTCTCACTTTTTGAATTGCTCCCAGGGCTCACTCTGTTGGGATGCTACTTGTGTTAGCTTTTTGATGCTATACGAAATTGCCTGAGATAACTTTTAGAAAGGTAGTTTCCATTTTGGCTGACGGTTTTGAAGGTTTCAGTCTATGATCACTTTATGGCCATCATTTTGAGACCTGTGGGTAAGACAGAACATCAGTCAGGGAATATGTGCTAAAGCAAACTGCTTTCTCCTAGACCACTGTTTACCGCTGGCATCACAGGCTGAGGACCAAATATTTTAACCGTAAGTCTTTGGGTGAGTCCAAAAGAAAAGCTAGAGCACTACTCAAAAAGGGGCACACACGCCCAGCGGTGGTGGCGCACGCCTTTAATCCCAGCACTCGGGAGGCAGAGGCAGGCGGATCTCTGTGAGTTCGAGACCAGCCTGGTCTACAAGAGCTAGTGCCAGGACAGGCTCCAAAGCCACAGAGAAACCCTGTCTCGAAAAACCAAAAAAAAAAAAAAAAAAAAAAAAAAAAAAAAAAGGGGGCACACAGATCAGCTACCTTGGTAAAAGAGAGCTAGTTGCCCACTCTGCACCAGACCTGCCGACAAGAATCTGAATTGTAACTATCTCCCCAGATGAATCACAGCATTCCATTGTTGGAGGGAAGTCTTTGCATAGTAATGTAATTGATGTCTTATGCCAGGTAAGTGATTGCAGTTGACTTGCTACATGTCTTGTCTTAAGATGTAAGGTACCAGGTAAGACTGTGAGAAATCCCCAAGTTGTACATGTCAAGGAAATTTTATCTAAACTGTTCCAAGTCATGATTAGATTGCCTTTTTATATTTAAGGGGAAACTGAAAGAAAAAAAGTTTCTGAATCCATTTTCTTCTCAATTTTCCAAGAGAAGCAATACAGCAATTCCCTGGTGTTTCTGGAGTTCAACCTGAACTCTATCTTTCTATCTCCTATAATCACAGACTTTTCTTCCTTGTTTACTATCAGATTCCAAGCATGGACATTAGCAAAGACCCCAATATGTTAAGTTTCAAAGTCTGTAAGAACTGAGTATTATGGAGGGAACTGTACAGGAAAGGAATAGAATACACAGCCTTTGTTTGTTGGAGTTTCTTGATATGCCATAGAGAAAACTTACAGAAGTCATTTAATAGCTATAAACCTGTAATCATACCTTGTTGAGCAACATAATTAAACAAATATTTTCTTATGCTTTGTGTATAATAATTCTAAGCTAACAAGGAATTTCAGTTAAATGATCCCTGGAGGTGAAGGAAATAGCAGTCTCAAAATGATATTCCTGGTGTTGGTCAACACAGCCCATCAGAACTGCTGTTCTTATGTTACTTTTAACTTATTTTGCAGCCGAGGGGTCCTAGGAGAGGGATTTATCACAAGTTAACTTAGTTCTAGCCACTGAAGCAATGTTGATACAAGATGGTGGGGCCGCTGACAAACATCGATTCTCCTTTAAAGAATGGTTGCAACTATTCCCCCTCTGCATTTTATCCTCAGAAGCCTTCTGCCACAGCTGTCAAAGTTCCCCTACCTTAGCAAGCAACCCATCACAGTGATTTCTAAAAACTGACTTTAAATCCTGGCTCAGAGGGGCTGTATCTCAAGAAA